CTTGGGCAAGTTGTTTAATCTCCCATCTCAGGTTTCTTCTTCTGTGGGACCTGGACGGTATCTCCCACACAGGTTTATAAGGATCAAATCAGGTAGTGAATATGTAAGGTGCTTGTACAGTATTGGATAAAAATACTGTTTTTCAAGGGCAGAAACTTTTGGAGAGGGGCTATGAAGAAGAATCTGCTCAAGGCATAGACAGCCTACTAGCCTTTTAGAGTGTATAAAAATTTTTTACCCTTGAGAAACAGTGGTAAATCAAACCTCACCCAGCCAGGTTATCCCAGTGACACAAATGGAAGTATTTTCCATTCTCCTATGCCATTCACACAGTGACCATTTCTCTGGCCCCGTTACCACTGACAGTGGAGCACACAGGAAGACTAATGGGCTGTTTGTTTCACCACGCCTGTGGGATTAGCCACTAAATAGTCATGGCCCCCAGAAACATTCTTTTCCTACCGCAAATAAACAACCTTTAATTCATGATTCCATATAAACATTCTCCATGATTTTATATATTATCACTTATCAAGCAGTAGAGAGTGTGGGATTGCATTGTTAAGTTCATCCTCCAAATTTCATAAATTTATGTGGAAATATCATCTATTTTTTGGTAAGCAAAGCTTCTGTTGCACGTTTAATATATCTACCCATACATTAAATGAAATTGAGTACGGAATGTCCCTACACAGTCCCTGGAACACAGTGAGTTCTCAAAACAAGGTTGTTGTGGTGGTGGTGATCATCATAGTGATCGTCATTAGTTTACTAACTAGGATAATAATTAAACATTTCATTCTTATTTTTAATATGTAAATTATAGTCAGGTCCTCAGAATATGCATTCTTTTTTAGAGTAAGCCATTATATCTGAAGTGATTTTCACTATTTAGATACAAAAACTATCTGTTTCTATTCTTTTTTAATGACAACTGTCAGCCACATCAGGGAAAATCATTTTATAATATAAAAGAATAATAACTTTAAAAAAGGATAAAATCCGGGCCGGCCCGGTGGCGCACTGCTACAGTGCGCCGCTTGGGAAGTGCGGCGGCGCT